TTATATGTGCATAGGAGGGCATGTCTACACCATAAATATAAATTGGTTTCATTCTTGCTTAATTGTTATGGCTCCAGCAATGAAAAAAGAAAAAGAAAATGTGTTGCTGGGGAGCAGCTGGAAACCTCCAAACATACAATTCTCAACCACCTTGTGCATTTGCATTGCCAGGGATCACTGGGAAACCATAATAAGAGAAATACTAAACTGTTCAAACTGCTTTATGTTTTGAATCCTACCAGGATCATAGCTCTCCGAAACTCTGCCACAGGAATCTTCATGCTGCCATTTTTGTCCATGTTCTTAAAGAAATCCCAGAGTCTCAGCCTGTTTGAATCCAAGTAGTACTAACAATGACAAAGAAAAAAACACAAATAAGAACACAAATTTTAAACTCTCCACCATTTTCCCTAGATAGCATCATATGCTTTTTGGGATATTCTAATCATATCTCTCACTCTATTTGCATTTTCCAGTTCTGACATAAAAGGTACATTTTCTCACTTGCTGAAACATGCCCTCCAGCTAGAACTCAGTTAGTCTTCTCCTTTCTGTCTCCACAAAACACCAGTGAGCATGCCTGGCTTTGCACGTATTGGAATAGCCTTTGCAGTGTGATATTCACACAGCTTTAGCACCTTATGCAACTATCAAAGCTAGGTTCCTTGTCTCTGTTGTGAATGAATTCATAATCTATAAACAGGCTATGAGACCCAGCAAGGTGTAGTGATTTCAGTGTTGAACAATGACTTTGCAGACCAGGGTTTGAATCCTGGCTCAGACATCTAAGCCCATTGGGTGACTTTGGGCCAATCACACTCTCTCAGCCTCAGAGAATGGGAATGGCAAATTCCCTCTGAAGAAACTTGCCAAGAAAACCATATAATAGGATTGCCATAAAGGATCAGGGAACTACCTGAAGGCACCCAACAACAACAACAACAAATGTGCTATCTTTTTTCCAGGAAATACAACCATTGATTTGGGGGCAGCTGAACCTTGCTATCATGTCAAGATCACCCGGGAAGCAGTAGGTGCAAAAAGCTGACATTGAGCCAACTGTAACTGCAATCCAAGGTTGGATTGTTGGAGAATGTGGCACTTTCTTTTTCTCTCCAAATATGGTTCCTGATTCAAGCCATTGCTTCTCTGTTTTGCTTTCTTTCTTGCATTGTGCTGAGGAGTCTCAAGTGTTCTGGATGCAGCCTTTCCCATTCTGTATAGTCATGTGCTTTCATTTGCTGCTACTGTAACATTTACTAGTCACTTTTTTTCTTGTAACCTAGCTTCTCATAGTATTCCTTCTATTAAAAGGAGCTGTTGTTCTGTGACATAATGATATCATAGAGACGTTTGCCACCAAGAAACTTGGTCCTATTGGCTACAGACACATTTGAACTGATTAGACTGTCACATATAGTAACTGAAATTGTAATGTAGCCAGATTTAAATCGCTTAAAAGTAATTAGTGCACTTTAAATAGCAGAATAATCTCTAAATGAACACCCATAGGGTCCCCACAGTATCTGTATCAAGTTTCAGGTGTCATGTCTTTATGATCCTGGTGTTATGGCAGGCCCTCTCTCTTCCCATTATAGATAGTACAGTTGGCCCTCCACATTTGCAGCTTTGACTTTTACAGATTTGATTATTTACGGGTTCGATTAATATGTTCTCTTGAGGAATCTCTAGGTCCTCCAGTGTTATTCTTTGGTCAATGTCCACCAGAAGTCATGCTGGAGGACTTAGAGATTTGTAGAGACAACATTTTTCTAGGCATTTGTGGGTCCTCCAGTGCAATTCTATGGTCAGCTTCTGGAAGATGCTGACCACACACTAGTGCTGAAGGACCTAGATATTTGCTAGAGAAGTATTATCTCAGGGAAAAAACACAACAGTTTTCTTTATTTGCAGTTTTTCCACTTTCTCAGGGGTCCTGAACCCCTAACCCCAGCAAATGTGGGGGACTAACTGTAATATTTCACAGGAGTAAGACACTCCTTAGTCCTCCCTTCAATACTCTTTGCCTTTCTCTTTGCTCATTGTTTCTTCTCTCCTCTTCATTCTTTTATTTTCATGCTGGTCTTTCACTCATTCTGCCCCAGTAGTTATTCAGCATTTTCTTCTGCTCACTCTGATCCCTGCTCCTTTATGTCCTGTTTCAAGCCCAATGGAGTCCAACAGCAATATCTAAAAAAATCAGTATGGTTTAGTAGTCTGAGAATTGGATAAGACTCTGGAAGATCACAGTTCAAATCCTCACTCAGCCATGGAAATCCACCAGGTATCCTTGGCAAGTCACATTCTTTCAGCCTCAAAGGAAGGCAATGGCAAACCCCCTCTGAACAAATCTTACCAAGAAAACCCTGTGATAGGGCTGCCATAAGTTAGAAATGACAGGCACACAACAACAGAAACAACAACAAACAGTATCTAAGCTGATCAAGTAAAGGATGAAAGGGGTCAAGTAAAAGGTGAAAAAATAGGTCAAAACATTCCAAAGTTAAGCTCAAAAGCCAGCAAAAACGTTCAAGCTACTAGAGTCATGGGAGAGTGATTCAAAGGCAGTGCAGGTTCAGGCATGAAGGAGGCACATCAGAGCAGAGTTCAAAAGGTCCAGGAAATTGCTGGCAATAAATAGTTTTTTCAGAAGTCTTCTTGCTTATTAACTGATGCTTTTAAAGCTGAGCTTCTAGAGCCCTACCCTGACTTATAAGCTTATTTGCCAGGAATCCTTATGAGGAAAGCTACATTCACAATTGGGCCTGTTACTGCTGAGGAGTCTTCCTTGCAGGTAAATACGGTTGAGTAGCCACAGGCCTTGCCTATGCTTTCAACCATCAATGTTTTCAAGATCTAATGGGTAGCACCACCTTTTCATTCTTTGTGGAATCAGGGGTCCCACCTGTTGGGAAGATATTCTACTACAATGCCCCCCCCCCCGGGAGTGTCTTCTTCTTGGGAGTGATCTGCTTCTAAATGCCAGCTGGCCCAAGTAGATCTGGATCTTCTTGAAAAGCGAATCTCTTTCCATTTACGATCTATCAGCACATTTTATTTTTCTCTCTGTTTGAAAGGAGTGGGGCTGTAGATAGAAGTGCCACATACAGTTGTCTGCTGGCCAGCAGCTTAATTTCTGGGGTAGGTTAGCTTTCTCTCTTCTGGCTGGGAAAAGTCCAGCAAATGAAAATGGTAAGGAGGCGTGATAATCTCCTACAGCAGTCAGGCTATTATCTCCAGCACTTGATGAACTCCTACCTTCCAGAATATTGTCTCCCTCCTCCACATAACTCAGTTTAAAGCCCTCCTGATCAGATTTGTATCTATATCTCAAGTGCTGGAGATAATAATCTTAGCAAAAACATTACTGCCAACTGCTGTGAGGTGCAACTCATTCCTTGCCAAAAGTCCATGTTCATGAAACCACAGGCCCAAAAAAGCCCAATCATTCCCAGCAGCACCATCTGTGAAGCTGGTTGTTTACCTTCATGATTCTCTCCCTTCCTGGGCCATGTCCTTTGACTGGGAGGAGAGACAAAATGATGACCTATGCATAGAGGTCCATCAGCTTCCTACCCAGAGCCTTATAATCCTTTATGATATTCTGAAGGCTATGCCTTACAGTGTTATTGGTTCCCACATGGATCAAAAAGAAGTATTAATGATCAGTGAGCTGTATGAGTCTTGTTAGGCTCTAGCTACATCATGGATTTCTACCCCAGGGAGACAGCCCACCTCTTAAGACATCCTGTCAGGCTCACAAACTACTGCTTCTGCTCCCCTCAGCAGGGTGTTCCCTGTCAACACAGGTCTCCTCTGAGGATTGGCAGTGGCCATTTCATGTGCTGAATTTTCCAAGGTCTCCTGCATGTTCTCTGTGGACTGGCAGTTGTAACTAGGAACCTCTAGGGAAATATTTTAATTAGCTCAATTAATGGTCTGAGCTACAAGGAGTCCTTGGATCTTCCCACCTGTATACCAGGATACTGAGACAAGGAGCACAGAGGTAGAATTCTTTCTATGAAGTATATTTTATTAAAAGGGAAAACATATACTAATGCACGCTCACACTCACACACACACACACACAAGAGCTAAGGTATAAAGAGGTGAGTTGGAATAGAAAAGGCTTCACTAAGGGGATAATTACCAAAGATGTGGTTGCTCCTGAAGATGCGATCTCATGGCTGGGATGTAGGACTCAGCTGCTTTTGGAGCGCTCGGAGGCAGCGCGAGTCGGAACCAGCCCAGCAAACAAAGGAATTTTGGGGATCTTTTATAAGGCAAAACTAGCCTCCAGGCAAAGACATGTGGCCTACATCAAAGGGATGAATCTGCATGGGAAAAGATCACTCAAGATAGGAGTCTTTGAAGTGGGGGTTGGGTTGTAAATGTCCACTCTCTGGCTTGAGTGCCAAACACCTGTCTGTAAATCACCTGGCCTTCCTGGAATGTGAAGTGTGAATCTCCCCTCATTGCAACTCCTAAAATGCCTATGTGATCTGAATTTTGAGGCTCTTGGATACATAACCAGGTGCTATAAGCCTCATGGCTGCTATACATAGGATCCATTCAGGGTCATGAGAGGGGTAGGACACACCACAAAATTGGAAGATTTCCAGTGGTCATAACATAGTATTGCTTTTGTTGCCGTTCTTTGTCATCACTGATAAGAGAGAAAACTTTTAATCAATTCTGTAGCTCCAAGTTCACAGAATGATTCCTGGTCCTTCTACCTCTATGTGCCACATCCCTCCAAACGTCTTATCTCCTGTCTTTTGGAACTGACCTCCTCCTCAGAGACTTCCTCTGTGTGTTCCTCATCTAGGACAGACTGTTCCTCTCAATCCAAGAAAACCTCATGCTCCCTAATATAATTGCATGTGCTGCAGGTGGCAAGAATATAAACATAACATAGCTGTGGAATGTGACTGCAGCAGCTCCCTTACTATCAATGTGGTACCACAATTTACAGAACATTGACAATGTTTGCAATTAATGTTAGTGTGGTGTAGTGGTTTGAACATTGGACTATGACTCTGGAGATCAGGGTTTGAATTCCTGCTCAGCCATGGAAACCCACTGGGTTAGCTTGGACTAGTCAAACTCTCTCAGTCTCTGAGGATAGCAATGACAAACCCCTCTGAATGAATCTTGCCAAGAAAACCCCATGATAGGCACACAACAGTAACAACAACAATCAATTTGTTTAAAAACAAAATCTAAAAAGCCCAATAGCTCCAAGATGCATATGTCCAATGCCTACCTACTTAGTATCCATGCCACATTCCTAATATGCAGGTTTCACAACTTGGAGCTATGGTGGAGACAGGCAGTTGTCCGCACACTTTTTCTTTTATTATTACAGATTATTCATTCTTTATTTTTAAATATATATAACTACTTTGCCAAAATAAAAATACACGTGTCCCTCCACATTCATGGACTTGGCTTTCACAGTCTTGCTCCTTCACGGACGTCAAGCGGGGAGGAACAAAATAGGGTGTGTGCCCGAGGTGCGTGCACAGGAGCACACACTCATTATAACTAATGGGCCTTGAATATTTGCAATTTTCCTGATTTGCGGGGGTTGGGTGGGTTCTGGAACGGATCCCCTGTGAATCAGGAAGGACGACTGTATTTCTCTATTTATATCACACAACCATGCTATAGCACTACTGTATATTCAACTTTAGCTGCCATATCAACATCCTGTGGAATTCTGGGGTGTGTAGTTTAGTGAGGCCCAAGGGCTCTCTGGCTGAGAATTCCAAATATTCCTCCCTAAACAGCAGATCCCAGGACTCCATAGGATGTTGCATTGGCAGTTAAAGCAGAATAATAGTTCTATAGCAGAGTAATAAGATAAGGCTTTTAAAATCATCTCACACCTGATGATCGCACACAAGCCAGGCTTCCTGACACTATTGATGCTCTTTTTTAATGGCCTCTCAACTTTAAAGGCTTCTCAAGACTGCATAACATAATCTTTCCTATGCATGCCTGAAATGGATATGTCAGTTTTTAGTCCAACATCCATCACATTTCTGATTTCTCCCTGCTTGATGATCAGTCACTAAATCCATGTAATAGGTTTTCTCTGTGCTTTGGGAGATCAAGATGGAAAACGCTTCTCCCTTCATGAGCCTTTCTACATATAAGTTAAGTGGGTGGATGAGACCTCACTCCAGAACGCTTGATTTAAAGCCAGATTGGTTAGGATGAGTGGCAGTACTGGTCATTTTAGCAGAGGCACCCTCATTATGTAACACCCTCCCCGGACCAGTCCTGCTTTCTCTTTTAAGTGAATGTTAAAACCCAAGTTATTCTGACAGCTTTTGAAGAGGATGTTTTGATTATCATTTTCTCAGTTGTGTGTGTGTGGGGGGGGGGGGATTGACATCATTTTAGTGCTGCTGTTTTAATTTATTTTTCCAGCTTGTTAACAGTATGTGTTTGAGTTGTTTTATGATGATGGATTAATATAGATGCAAAAGTGTATAAAAAACATATAAGCTTATCGCACAGCACTTAAGGAATGGGAACGTAAAGGAACAGAATGGAACGGAATGGAACGGAACAAAAACGCATGTTACTGGACAGGAGAACGCCACCAATGCCGCCGGGAATCTCCAAGCCATTTTAAATTTTTTTGAAAAGCATCACATCTACAAAATTTTCATTTTAACCACATGAAACTATGTACATGTAAATACATTTAGGCTGTGTGTATGATATTGTAATTTAAAGGTATAATTTTAATTTTGCTAGTTATTTATGTCACGACTATTGCCATTTAATCCAGCGTTATACAGGAATGACTATTTATGAGTAACGTTAGTACAAATAACGTTGCTAAGGATTATGTATAGTGTAGTATGGGAGGAAGTGAATAGGGGGTGACACCATGAGTTACCACACCAGGTGATGCCAACCCTAGTCACTGGCATTCAAAACAGAAAGCTTTTAAAGAATGCCCTGGGGTACTATATTGTTTTAATGTATTTTAAACATTTTAATCTTCTTAAAGTATTTGTAATTTGTTTTAATTATTATAGTAATTAAATTCCATTTTAATGCACTATTTTGTATGTTTTTAAATGTATTGTGTTTTTTTAATGTTGTGAGCCACCCTGAATATAATAATATAACTGGAATAATAATAATAATAATAATAATAATAATAATAATAATAATAATAATAATAATAATAACTGGACAAAAACATAAAATGTAAAGGCATAACTTTGAACACTAAAGTGAGGATAGGCCAAGTCATCAACAAAAAAGAAATTCATAATGAGATTAAAGTGTTACAAAAACAGCTTTCAATCCTAACATCTGATGAAATAGAAAGTTAAAATTCACAAGACAAAAATATTTTGAATATGGGAATAAAGCTGGAAAATTACTAGCACATAGATTGAGAAAGGAAAAAGAAGAAAGGATGATTACAGAAATAACAGATGGGAAGAAAAACGTAACAAATTTGAATGGAATTTGAACAGTCTTTGAGGAGTATTTTGTGAATTTGTTTAAAGAAAAAAACAGAGGTGACACTTTCGATTCCGAGCTAAAAAAATATATTGGGCAACATACTCTAGCCAGGATATCAGAGCCTCAGAAAGCGTTACTCAATTCCAATATTACGATGAAGGAGATCACCAAAGGTATAAAGGAAATGAAACTGGGCAAAGCCCCTGGACCAGATGGGTTTTCTGCAATTTACTACAAGACCTTACAAGATGAATTGGGCCTGTCACTTTATTTCTTGTTTAACGAGATCCAACAAAAAGGTATACCAGATTCCTGGTCAAATGCAAATATTACTCTCATTCCAAAAGCAAATAAAGATCCCTCTTTCCCTCAGAATCATAGACCAATCTCTTTCCTAAATTTGGACTACAAGCTGTTTGCAGCAATATTGGTTAAAAGACTAAGGACGGTTCTTCAAGAGATTATTCAAAAAGATCAATCAGCTTTTTACCTCAAAGGCACATGAAGCAAAATATAAGAACTATGATAAATCTGATAGAATACTACAAGAAAAATCCAGGGAAGAAATCAGCTTTAATATTTCTCAATGCAGAGAAAGCCTTTTATGAAGTTAATTGCAATTTTATGTTAGAAACGATGAAAGCGATGGACTTTGGAGAGATATTTATAAAATGGATCCAGGCCATTTACAAAAATCAATCAGCACAAATAATAATAAATGGAGAAAAAACCAAGAGTTGCCCAATATTGAAAGGAACCAGGTAAGGGCATCCTCTATCCCCTTTATTGTTTATTTTGAGATTAGAAATTTTATTAGACCAAATAAGGAAAGACAAGACAATTCCAGGGGCCCAAGTCAAAGGTTACAGATATAAAATAAAAGTCTACACAGATGATGAGCAATCAACCTTGAAGACCCAATTGAAAATATTAAGAAATTAATGGAATTAATTCAGAAATATGGAAATTTTGCGGGCTTTAAAGTTAATAAAACCAAATCAACCATATTAACAATGAATATGTCTAGAAAAGAAGATGAAATTTTAAAGAGAGAATCCGGTTTCCAAGTGACGTACCTTGACATAACTTTATCAAAGAAAAATTCAGACATATTTGACAATAATTACGTACCTTTATGGAGAGGCATAAAAAAGAATTTGGATAGGTGAACATCGCTAAATTTGTCACTCATGGGCTGGATCTCTTCGATTAAGATGAATGTCTTATCTAAAGTAATGTTTCTTTTACAAAACCTTCCAATATTAACAAATGACAAGGTATTTAAACTTTGGGAAACTGATATATCAAAATTCATTTGGGCCGGCAAAAAACTGTGAATAAGGTGGAAAATAATGAAAGATGCTAAAGAGCGAGGAGAGCTTGGTATCCCGGATTTGAAAATGTATTATTACTCCTGTACCATAGATTGGATCTGAAAATGGGTATTATTGGAAGACGAAAAAACACTAGCTCTAGAACAGGGGTAGGCAACCTTTCCCCTTTAAGGACCGAGGGACTTCAGCTCCCAGAATCCTAGGAGCTATTGGCCAACATGGGACTATTGGCCAACATGGCTGAGGCTTCTGGGAGCTGAAGTCCCTCGGCCCTTAAAGGGGAAAGGTTGCCTACCCCTGCTCTAGAAGGATTCAATAACAGATACGGTTGGCATGGCTATCTATTTTATAATAAAGCAGAGGTTAACAAAGGTTTCTGTGATCACACTATCAGAAGAGCACTTTTACGGGTTTGGTCAAAAATCAAACAAAAAAATTATAATAAATTTCCAAACTGGTTTTCATCACAAGAAGCACTACGATTTGCCCAGGCAACACAACAGAAAGGTTATTTTAAATATGAAGACTTGTTAATTTGGCAGAGAGAATCACCAACTATGAAATCACCTCAAAAATTGGAAGAAGACAGTTTCACTTGTTACTGGTTTACTTATCATCAGATATATGAGAGATTTAAAATGGATCTTAAAATAGAAGGTTTAAGCAACAAGAAAACAGAATTAGATGAGATTATAATGGGATCACACAAATCAGTGATTTCTAAACTCTACAAACTCCTTCTGAAAACTGAAATGGAATTTGAAACAATTAAAGAATGCATTATTAAATGGGCAAAAAATATCGGCCATCCAATCAAATTAGAAAGTTGGGAAAGAGCCTGGGGCCAGGATTTAAAATTTACATGTTGTATGGATATCAAAGAAAACTTTTACAAAATGGTACACAGATGGTACCTGACACCTTATAAACTTGTAAAGATCCAACAACATGAAACAGGCAAATGCTGGAAGTGTGGCACGACTGAAAGGACTTTATACCATATCTGATGGACATGCCCAGCTGCAAAAGAGTATTGGAAGGGAATACACAAGACTCTGCAACAAATAACTCAAACCACAATAAAAATGACTCCTGAGTGCTTCTTATTAAACATAGTGGAGGGGAAGGAGGAAAGGAAGCATTTAAAATATACTTTATACTCTGTATCGGCTGCTAGGAATGGTCTACGTTCAAAAATGGAAAGAAAAAGAAGCACCAACTCTGGATGACTGGCTTACAAA